AAAATGTAAATTTCCAAAACTAATAAACGGAAGTAATATTATTTTATTGACCATGTTTCTCTTCTAATTTTGAGGTAAATGGACACAGGAAGCAGTTAAATAAATGTTCAAAAAATAAATTAATTAAAGCCTCTGAAATATTAAAATTATGCCTGACTTTTACTGAAGCTGGAATTAAAGAGCAACAGTTTATAGATTCTCCTTCCACTTGTTTCTTCACTTTGTAATAACTCTGTGTGGATTTTGCTCCAGATGGAAACTTTTTGCCATTTTCAGGCTCAGATTTTCAAAACTACTTTATGTCATAAATATACAATTTTTGCTTTGATTCTTTTATGTTTAAATATTCTGTTATCTATATGGTAACAGGTCAGCTGCTCAAAGCCTGGGTGACCTACAAGGCGCAGCTCCTCCCCCACTAGGCTCCTTCAGACTAGCCAGCAGCAATTAGCAAACATCTGCTGAACTCATTATAGGAGCTACTGCTCAGAACAACGCTGGTAAAAATATTAAAGGGTTAATAGAGGACCCAAGTTGAGATGTCTTGTTGGAGGCTGACCTTCAGAAAGAGCAGGAGCTTCTTAAAGCGACAGAGGCCCAATTTCAAGACGTTAAATCAGGAAGTAAGATTTATTTGATGTTTTTATAAGAACTGAGGGAAACATAGTTATAAAATGGAACTATGTGGCTGAGAAGCACGATACCGTCCCTTTAACATTTAGCTTATTTATTTTTATGCTGAGAAAAATTTCATGACAATATTATTGTACTGTTTGTTTATTTTTTTGCATTTTGCCTTAAGAGAAAAAGCTCATTTTGGTCCTCAGTAATAAAAATGTTCCCTCTGGTCTGGAGGTTCTGGATTCTCCTGTGACCCGGCTCCTGGAGGACCTGGTCAGGTTCTGGTGACCCGGTCCCTGATGTGTCTCTCTCCGTGTCTCCTGCAGGTCCTCTATAAGGTCTACATCTCCTTCGTGGAGGTCGGCCCGCAGAACGTCCAGACGGCCGACTACTTCAAGGGAGTGGGTGAGTCTTCAGGTGGAAATCTTGACAGCCTCTGCTGACCTCTGACCTCTGCTGACCTCCACAGCCTCCTTCCTCATCGTCAGCGTCGGGGGGACTCTGGTGGGTCTGGTCTTTGCCGTCATCCTCGGCTTCATCACCCGCTTCACCAAGAAGGTCCGCATCATTGAGCCGCTCTTCGTCTTCCTGCTGGTGTACCTGGCCTACCTGACCGCCGAGCTCTTCTCGCTGTCTGCCATCTTGTCGTGAGTCCCGCCTCTCAATCCCACCCACCTCAGCCCCCGCTGTGTCACCGCCACGTCTTCCTCCGCAGGATGACCTTTTGTGGCATTGGGGCCAATAAGTACGTAGAGGCGAACATCTCGCAGAAGTCCCGGACCACGGTGAAGTACACGATGAAGACGCTGGCCAGCATCGCCGAGACCATCATCTTCATCTTCCTGGGCATCTCTGCGGTGGACAAGTCCAAGTGGGCCTGGGACACGGGCCTGGTGTCCTGCACCTTGGTCTTCATCCTGCTCTTCAGGGCTGTGGGTCAGTACCTCTGGTTCTGGTTATAACTCTGACATTATTCACATTAACCATCCACAGAAGGCGCAGATCAGCGCCATCTACTGGCCAACATGGGTACAGCAGCCATTAAAGGGCCGGTATCATGTGATTTCCAGGCATATAGTTCCATTTTATAACATAATCAGTTACTGTCTCACCTTTAGCTGTTACAAAAACACTGTACATAAAATATGACTTAAAAGAAGTTTAGCTTCCTGATTTAGCAGCTTGAAATTGGGCCTCTGTTTTTTAAAGAAACTCCTGCTCTTCCTGAAGCTCCGCCTCCGCATCCCAACATGGCTGCTGTATTAACCCTCTAACGTTTTACCAGCATTGCTCTGAGCAGCAGCTCCGACATTGAGCTCAAAAGCTGTTTGCTAATTGCTGCTGGCTAGTCTGAAGGAGCGAAGTGGGGAAGGTCCACCCAGACATTAGCAGCTGATGGTTGCCATGGAGATTGAAGGATTTCTCAAACACGACAGAATCAAAGCAACTCAGCAGGAAACCAGAAAGGTTTATTTTACAGAGAACTGGCCCTTTAAATTTAACAATTTAAACTTGATTTCAATTATTTATCTTTAATTGATGCTCAGAATTGATTATCTTTAATATTTTAAAAAGTGAGCCACATCTCACATTTAAATATTAATCCAGCTAAATTTATTGTACATGATCAAAAACAAACCACACTAAATCCTAAAGATTTATGAAAGTAAAAGCAAAACATAATAAACAGTAGAATCTCACTACATCTTTAGAGAGCAGAACTGAATCAAAGTTCATCTGACGTTTTCGTCTCTCAGTTCTGAGGATTTTAATCCAAATAAATCTGGAGTAGGTTAAGGTTAAGGTTAGGAACCTTTTGTGTCTCACCAGAACAGCAGCAGGAAGAATTTAACTGACGGAGCCAGGAAAACAACCAGGAGCAGTAAATTATCATATTATAAGAATGTTTTTTATCTTAGTATGATAAAGAAGACGTTTCATTAAAACCACAATATGTTCTTGTTTAAACCAGCAAACGAGTCTGAGCAACATTCACTCAGCAGGCGAATCCCACACAAATCCAAAACTGAACAATTTAAATAATTTGCTCTGAGCCTCTTCCATAAAAACCAGATAAACGCAACAAAGTTGGGATTCAGACAGAGACGCATCCAGCAGGTTTGGTTCTGACGTCATCGGAGAAAAGAGTCTTATTGGTTTTGCCTGTTTGTCTCTGGGAGCATCTGGCGGAGGAGTCATGCGTTGGGCCTGATCAGCCAATCAGAAGCAGACTCTTTTCTCCCAGCCAACCAATAGGAGAAAATGAATCTCTGTTTTGGAGAGAAACTCCTGGAAGGAGTTGATTCTCGATCAGTGGTGATCAAAGCATCCCAGACTTTAAAGGAACTTTCCTGAAAATCAAACAACATAGAGAACCTCTGAAGGATCCAGTCCGGCTCGGTCCGGTTCGGCTCGGTCCGGTCCAGTCGGTTCCAACCTCTGTGACATGATGACTCTGGGCCTCAGGTGTGGTCGGCCAGACCTGGGTTCTGAACCGGTTCCGGCTCGTCCCGCTGGATAAGATCGACCAGGTGGTGATGTCATACGGCGGCCTGCGGGGGGCGGTGGCGTTCGCGCTGGTGGTGCTGCTGGACGCAGAGCAGGTCAAAGCCAAGGATTACTTTGTTGCCACGACGATCGTGGTTGTCTTCTTCACCGTCATGTTCCAGGTAGGACCGGTCCGGTTCCTGAGTGAGGAGCCACGGTTTCTGGTTCTGATTCCTGCTCTGGTTCTGGTTCTGGTCCAGGGTCTGACCATCAAGCCTCTGGTCAAGTGGCTGAAGGTTCCTCGCTCCACCAAAGCCCACCATCAACGAGGAGATCCACGAGCGGGTGATGATGATGATTATGATGATGATGATGAGTCATCATCATCATCAATGTGACAAGTGTGTGTGTGTGTGTGTGTGTGTGTGTGTGTGTGTGTGTGTGTGTGTGTGTGTGTGTGTGTGTGTGTGTGTGTGTGTGTGTGTGTGTGTGTGTGTGTGTTCAGGCCTTTGACCACATCCTGACTGCGGTGGAGGACATCGCAGGCCTGCAGGGTTATCACCACTGGAGAGACAAGTGAGTCCCACCAACATGTCCCCCATCATCAGCACGGTTTCCCAGCATGCTTCACTGCCTCTGCCCCCTCCAGGTGGGAGCAGTTCGATAAGAACTACCTGAGCAAGCTGCTGCTCAGGAAGTCGGTGTACAGGAAGAGCGAGCTCTGGGAGGCGTACCAGAAGATCAACATCCGGGACGCCATCAGCGTCATCGACCAGGTAGGAAGACCGGGTCGGATCCAAACGGACTCTGGTTCTGAAAAGAGCCGGCTGGAGAGTCTGCAGGCTCCAGGTTCTGATTCTGGTTGTCTGAGCAGTCGGGTCTTCCAGGCTGCTAGGACCCGAGCTCTGGTTCTGGTTCTGATCCATAATCCATGGTTGAGGTTGGAACCGAAGATCCAGAACTTCTCCACCTCCGTCTGGAGGAAATGTTGTGCTGATCCATTCCTGGTTTGATGGGTCACCAGAACCAGAGTCGGCAGGCGGCAGAGCTCAGGATTAAATTTCATCTCTGGGGAAACGGAGGAAGAATGCCGACCTTCAGGCGGGTCCAGCAGAAACCAGAACCAGGTCAGGCTTTAATTTGGACCGGGCTTTATTTATGGAGCAGAACTCAGCAGGAACCAGAACCAGGTCAGGCTTTAATTTGGACCGGGCTTTATTTATGGAGCAGAACTCAGCAGGAACCAGAACCAGGTCAGGCTTTAATTTGGACCGGGCTTTATTTATGGAGCAGAACTCAGCAGGAAGCAAATTAATGGAGGTAGCAGAGATTTTTGCAACCTCAGCGAAATCTGTTTACCGCAAAGGTTTTCCCTTTCCTGAACTGCTCCTCCTGGCTGGACCACCAGGAGGTGCTGCAGGCTGATTGTTGAGGACAGACAGTCTTGTTCTGAGTCCTTCAGGTTCACTGAAGTCCAGCTGACCTCTGACCTCTATGTGCAGGGTGGGAACGTCTTGACCTCGGCCAGGCTGTCACTGCCCTCCATGGCCAGCAGAGCCTCGTTTCCTGAAGTCACCAACGTCACCAACTACCTGTGAGTCACATGACATCTGACCCTCTGATGACCTCTGATGGGGCTGCTCAGCAGGAAACAACTTGCTTTCTTCCTGTTTAAATCAACTTTATGGAAGAATTTGAACAAAAACCAACTTTTCACGTCAGATCCAACAACAGATCCAAAGAAGAAGAAATATTGATTTTATCTTTGGCTCCAAACCTGCTGACCTGTGGTTGACGTGTTGCAGGCGGGAGAACGGCAGCGGCGTGTGTCTGGACCTTCAGGTCATCGACAACGTTCCCGGGTCCAAGGTGGAGGAAGACATGGAGACGCATCACGTCCTGGCCGGGAACCTGTACAAGCCCAGGAGACGGGTAACGAGAAGGAGCGGCAGGGGCAACGGCCCGCTGTGGAGCTGCTGGTGACACATGGTGTGTGTGTTTTCCAGTACCAGTCCCACTACAGTCGACACTTCATGCCGCTGGGTGAGCAGGAGCGGCAGGACCGCGAGGTTTTCCAGAGGAACATGAAGAGCCGCATGGAGACCTTCAAGTCCACCAGACACAAGCGGCACAAGAAGGAGCGCAGCCTGAAAAAGGTTCACACACACACCTGAACAGAACCTGAAATCTGACTGTTACAACAGGTCTTATAACAGTCAGAGGCCCGGTTCTGTCAGAACTGCAAGTCTCACTGCAGAGTTCCAGACTCTAGATATGAACACAAACTTGTTTTAATTTTAGAACCGATGCAAATATTACTATCGGCTCTAGTTGCCCTCTTACCTTTCCTCCTTCTGCCGGCAGCGCCGAGGATCTGACACGAAGGACGAGGGAGGAGACAAACCCAGACGCAACGTCAGCTGGCAGGACAAAGGTACCGCGACGTGGGTTGATGAGATGTTGGGTTGATGAGATGTTGGGTTGATGAGATGTTGGGTTGATAAGATGTTGGGTTGATGAGATGTTGGGTTGATGAGATGTTGGGTTGATGAGATGTTGGGTTGATAAGATGTTGGGTTGATGAGATGTTGGGTTGATGAGATGTTGGGTTGATGAGATGTTGGGTTGAGGTTGTTGGAGTTGATGATCTTCTACTTGGCCCTCGCCAGCGTCTCAGTAACTGGTCTGATGTTGCCGCCACTCTGTCTCAGATCCGGTGGCCGTTCCTGTGGAACCCGAGGAGGATAAAGCTGATCGCTCCGATCCGGAGAAGGAGGAAGACATCGGGATCACCTTCGTTGCTCGGAAGGCGGAGACGCCGAAACAGCGACCCAAATCAGGTAAAGCAGAGAGGCTCTGATTGAACGGCACCGCCTGTAAATGGTGATCCACTAATGGATGCCAAATTTATTTTGATCAAATTTCCAACTAAGTGCTTGACAAGTGAAATGTTAAAGTAAAATACTTGACAAGCTGCAGTCAAATATAGACTTAGACTTAGACTTGACTTTATTGATCCCTTGGGAAGACTCCCTCAGAAAATAATAGTTACCAGCAGCTCACAGGCAAAAATGTGGCACACAGTAAGCATACACAAAAGAATACAAAAAAATACAAATTAAATACAAAACAAAGAATATAAATACAACACAAAAGGAAATTATAGCAATTTGGTGGATAGATTGACCAGTGATATGGTATTGCACTGTATGGTTTGGCCTTGTTGAAGGCAAAGCGATTGAGAACAGATGAAATATTTGGGTCAGTTTAAAAGCAGTTTATAAAAGTTGATGACTAAAACTGAAGAAAAAGGAATGAAAACCATTTGTTACCATGGTTACAAACACAAGTTACAGGTGTTTACATCTCTTCATGGAGATGAAGGTTTCCATAAAACTGATGTTTCCTGCTGAAGGAGAGCATAATGCTGCCATCACCGAACTGTTCTCCCTTCAACGCTTTACTTTCATGAACTAGAACATCCCTAGAGAACGAGCAGCTTCTGCTTCTGCTGGAGTTTTCTTCCTGTTAAAAGGGAGATTTTCCTCTCCACTGTCGCCCCCTGCTGGTCAGAGGCAGTGATGCTGCGGGTCAGGATGCTCTGCTGGCGTTCCTTAGAAATGTTTTAGTTTTACTGAACTTAGATCAAATGGGATGATTGATTGTAAATGATTTATTTTGTGAATTGAATGACACTGAACTGAAAACGAAGCTGCCCATTTCCATGCTGATGGTAGGTTGGTGTATAGCTGCAGTCTTTCTGCATGATGGCTGATTAGAGTTTGTCCTTCAGTCCCAGCAGCTCTGGATGTTTGCCAGAGCCCGCCGCCCCCCCCCCGTCGCCGCCCGGTGAGGACAGCCATCTGCCCTGGAAGGGCGGCGTGGGGTCGCCCCCGCCCTGCGTGTCGGTGGAGGCCACCAAGATCATCCCGGTGGACCTGCAGCAGGCCTGGAACCAGAGCATCTCCTCCCTGGAGAGCGTCTCGTCGCCTCCGGCGCCCGCTGAGCCTGTCCACCCCCGCGTCAGCGCCCTCTCCAGGCTGGGAGGATCCCGCCCTGCCTCCTACACTGGCCCTGTCGGGGGCGCGCCTGCCCAGGTCCCGCCCCCAGCCGCCTTCTGTTTCTCTGAGAGGAAAAAGAAGAAGCCGGTGGAGGAAGAGGAGGAAGAGGAGGAGCCTGGCACGACGCAAGAGATGCAGCCGCTAATGTCGGCCTTGAAGCCGCCGCAAGCTGCACCCTCGCCGCCAGCCCCGCCCGGCCCAGGCAGGAGGAGGAACCCCTGTGTGTACCTGAGGAGTCTGGTGACCCCGCCCCCTGGTGGCGGCGCCGGGCCTCATAGTCACCGCCCCACGCAGCTCTGAACGGGGCCACCAGGTGGCGGGTTGTCTGCCGGCTCGGCCAATAGGAAACCAGCACAATCACATGACCAGAGAGCTCCACCAGCTGAAGATAACCTTCTGTCCTAATCTTCATCACCATCTGCGTCCTTTGTCCTTTCACCAAACTTTCCAGCCAAGCTCCTGCTGGATTGGAAGCTTGGAAGGATCGTTGCTCCATCACAGCAGATCAATATGATTCAATAACTGCTGATGTTATTGAATCAATTACACTGAAAATGTCTGTGATGTCTCTGTGATTCAGTGAGTTTAAATGAAAATCCATCCTTTGCTTCATAACGCTTTTGAATTATTGTTGTTTCTTCATACAGCAGGGGGCGCTGCAGCCCCCTTTCCCTGCCTTTCTGTCTCAGCTGCTCATTTAAAACCCAAACATGTATTTTATACAGGCCTTGTTTTTATTAATGCCGCTGCCTTATTCTGTGCTTTATTCCTGCAGCTGCTGCTGCGGTCCTGTTTGGTCCGGTCCAAACAGGACCAGCGGTTCCGCCAGATAATCGGTGATCTGATCCTGCAGCAGCTCGGCCCAGTCAGCAGGAAAATGGTTTTTATTCATAATAAAGGTCGTTGACATGTTTCTGCTTTAACATGCTGCTAAACATCGGAAATGCCTGAAATTAACACTGAATTATTCCTCTGAAATTAAGAGACAAATAAAGAGAAATTCGATTGAGATGAAAATATTTTTGTTCATATTTTATTATAAATAATTTTTCCGATTTGCCTTGATGAATCCTGATAATGTGGAATTATCGTTGAGTCTTTTTTTATTGAAAGTGAGTAAAGGTTTTATTTAAGTTATGAGATCCGTGTTTCAGGGAAGAGAAGCACGAAACTGGATCGGAACCAGCAGCTTTCTGACCAACGGAACCAGAACCAGCAGCGCACCACATTTGCGCCTGGATCCCAAATCTGATGTTGTTCTCCATATTATTGCTGTTTGTGTTGAAGGAAAACGGAGGAGTTTAGGACAGATCTTCCTGTTCTGGTTAAAGGAGCAGCTAGTTTGCTTTTACTTGTGCAACTGCTTCATGTATGAAATTAACTCCCTGAACAAACCTCTGAAAATAAAACTAACAATGAAATAAAACCAACTGAATAATGATGGTGTAAAGGTCAAATCTCTGATGTAAAATCAGGATATAATAAATACTTTTCATGACAAACACAGTGAACAGATTAAATCAAGTGATGGCGTCTGGCGCCGATGCCAGTGATGTAATGCTGCACAGTGACCACAGGGGGCGCTGTGGTTCGCCTCAGAAGCAGCTGAAGGGTAACTACCGGAAGCTGGTTAGCATCAGTCGCTGAAAGGATAACTAATAACCGCAAATTTAGCGGATTATTTTACCCAGACTGCTCTCTACCGCCGGTGAGTTCTTGTTTTAAATCAGATTAACTAGTTAGTTAACCAGGCTGCTGGTTAGTTAGGGCTAATTAGCGCATTGGTTTGTTCGTGACGGTTACGGACTGGTTGGCGGGGCATCCGAAGCGTTTCTAGAAACTTCTCTGAAGGCCACCACCAGGTAATGATCCCGGTTAAAATGTAAATTAAATACAAAATCAAACAGAGAAGGAAAAAAAACGAATAATTAAGCAGCTAAATGAATAGATGGGTTGATGACGTCACCAGGCCCGTTCTGTACTGGAGTCTACAGAGTAAACACAGGAAGGCCAACGGTACCCCAGTAGATGTTGACCATATTGCGTTTGACTGGTGTAATTTTACATAATGTCACACCATGTTACTATCGGCTGTGATAAAAAGAATAAAATCTGAGGCGAATCTGGATAATTTCCCACATGAGAGAGAGGAGAGCCAGAGAGGAACACAACCAAGGACCTAATCTGGACCTGGACATTTCTCCACAAAACTTTGAGCCATTTATACCAGCAGACCTTAACGAGCTAACAATAAATGCTGTGCTGAGACGGGCAGAGCTGGACGCTCTTTGAGATGCTAACAGAAGCTATACAGCCTGTCTACTGACATCACCGATCCGGCCGGACATTCCTGTGACAATACTTTATTACAATTTATAAAAACTAAATAACCTACAGTATTATTACTGTATTGTTTTTACATCTAAGATAAAATATTTCCCAAATAAGGTTTATTTTTATCACTAATCGTGGTTCCCTTTAAAGGCTCAGGGGTTGGTTCCTCTGGTGAGACATAATCCCACCAGTAGAGGGCAGTGTTCGCCTCGTTAGGATAGGAAACTCATCTGTTTCCTGCATCTCTTTAAGAAAACCGCCTCTGGCAAGCACAAGAACTTTTATTATGAAATTGAGGAATTTATTTCAAATTTACCCGTTTCCATCAACCGTTTCTATGTGATGGTTCAAAATGTGAATAAACATGTTGCTGGAATGCAACTAATGACATGTGAGAACACGTCCTGCTCAGCAGACTGTCTGGGGCCTTTCTTGTCGGCTGAGCCTGTGAGGCGGACCAGAGCAGGAACGGAGACTATGAGACCAGAGGTGCTCCGATCCCCAAACTGCTGCTGCTGAGAAGCCTCCCGCTCCACCATGACGATGAGTGTTGAGCTGACCAAGCAGTCAGCTGGTCTCCTTGTGTCACTTTCCTCAACGGTTTCACTGTAAAAGTGGTGATGTGGTGATGAGTGTTCCAGAGCTTCTCCTGTTGGACTCTGCCTGCTCTTTGTGCCTGCAGGAATTACTGCGGCTGCAGGTTTCTCTGTGTTTCTGTGGGGATCAGCTTCAGTAGTGAAGCTTTTCTCTGGGCTTTAGCTGCAGGCCTCGTCCAGCGCCTCATTGGCTGCCCGTTCATCGCTCCTCGAGCCGGAAAACCTGCTCACATTCCTCTGATGAGCTGCCTGCCTGGCCGCACTCGGGGCACAGCTGCTGCCTGTTGTTGGTTACCAGAACCTGCTGTTCAGAACCACAGACCGGTCATGTGAGCGGCGACACGTTGTGTCACATAATGACTGCGTCAGAGGACGCGCAGTAACCCAAACTCACAATACTCCCTCCATATTCAGCAACTGGTTCCAGCCGGTTCTACTGGTTCCAGTTGGTTCTAATAGCAGAACCAGCTGGTCCACCTCCATGAATATGTCTTAAACCCCCATTTACCGTCATTTGTCCCAGTACCACCATGCACAGGGAGAACCGGGCCGGTTATTAGATTAGGGTATAAATATAAATTTATGTTTTACCAGAGCACATGAGGTCACCTCACCAAAAATAAATATATTTAAATGTAAAAAAAATCCAAGTGTAAATGATTGAGCAGCAGAGTGTGACAGCGCCCCCTGCAGTGTGTGGCCGTTTGCTCAACAGAAGAGGAATCATGTTGAAGCAGCCGACATCCCTCTTTGTTTATTTATCATATATGGAGATGCTTCCTGTTCATAAACTCGACTGGATGACTGGCCTCCAGCTGTGCTGCTTCGCCAGGGTTTCCTACCGTAATGCATTTAGATGCATACATCTATCTGACTGACCGGTACCGGTACCTGCTTTAAGTTCTGCTCAGAGCTCCAGGATGATCAGTCTGGATTCATCTAAATAAACCAGCACGTCAATATGATCTCTGATCAACAGCTCCATGTTCTCCATCAGAACCACAGATCCTCAGGTAGCAGCTTACCTTGATGCAGCTGCTGATGCAGCTACTGATGCAGCTACTGATGCAGCTGCTGATGTACCTGTGACTGTCTGCACACCTGATTACCTTCAATAATAAAACCTGCCTGGAGTTAATCTGCTGATCCAACAGGCTTTTCATGTATTCAGTGAACAGAGCTTTATGAGGCAAAAACTGATGAAATGTACTATTTACATTTGAATGAAGGTTTCATTTAATTTTTACTGTAGGTATTTGTATGTGTGTGTGTTTTCTGAGGATAACACACACATGTTCAAACAACATATTGTTGTTTTCTGCTACTGGTGCTACAAAAGTAGCACCAGTAGCAGAAGCATCAGTAGCTGCAGCAATAGCAGCAACAACAATAGCAGCAGCAGGATCAGTAGCTGCAGCATAAGCAGCAGCACTAGTAGCATCAGCAGCATCAGTAGCTACAGCAGCAGCAGTAACAGTAGCAATAGCAGCAGCTGTAGCAGCAACAACAACAGTTACAGCAGCAGCAGTAGCTGCAGCAATAGCATCAGCAGCATCAGTAGCTACAGCAGCAACAGTAGCTGCAGCAATAGCAGCAGCAGCAGCAGCAGTAGCAGGAGCAGTAGTTGCAGACAAGATTCCTGTGTTTCTGTCCAGGTGCTGCCTGATGAAACAAAAGCAGCTGGGCTGTTTTTGTGTTTCTTTCTCTGGCCTCTTCAAACTTGCCCACCACTGACATAACTTGCTGCTTGTTGGTGCAGCGGGGCTTTAAGGTCACTGCAGTTTCTCTGCCTCATGCAGTTTACCTCTGTTCAGTAAGAAGATGCCATGGGACACCACAATGAAGAAGAGCAGCATCTTCATGTGGATGCTTTCAAGATGCTACCTGTAGGGCCGCTGTACTGGTGTCAGAGCAGCATTAGTGTTTTAAGGGCCAGTATTATGTATTTTCCAGACACACATTTCCCTTTATAGCACTATCATTAACTGATACCTTCTGCCAGGGCCGTGCAGAGACTAGTAAAGGGGCAGGTGCTCAAAAAAAAACAAAAGGGCACATCAAATCACATTTCAGGACAGAATATTAACAAAGTCACACAGCTCTCAGAGTTTAATTAACAATGATAGATTACAAAATTGTGAGACATACAATCAAAGAACATCTGCTTGGGTTGCTGTACTTGCAGTGGAGATGAAGACGGTCCATTCAGAAAAACAGAGCTGCATCAAACTTTAACGTGGAACTGCAGGAAAAAAACAAAAGCAAAAATGTAACTAATGCATGTCACTATGAGAAAAGACTACTCTAATTGTGTTTTAGTGTATTTTGTAAGTACCTATGTACATTTTCTTCAATCTTTCCTCTTCTTTTTTTCTTGTCAGTTTCTCTTCTTTTTTTCCTCATTGTCTCATCTTCTCTGTGTTGAGTGAAGTCTTATTTATTTCAGTCTCTTGCCTTTTAACTGTTTAAAAACAAATTTCAAACTTTTAAGCATTTTTTGCTGTTTTTGTTCTTTTGTTCATAGCAGCAGTTTTCTGTTGGTCATGTCTTGAAGAATGTTAATAACTTCACTGTGAATGATTGGTACAGTTGACCTAGTTGGTCAACAATCCACTGCCTTTGTTTTTTGTTTCTGACGTCTCTCTTTACGTGGCGTCTTTGAACTGAAAAAAGCAAAACAAAGAATTATGATCAGAACACTATAATAAACCACACTACCAATTCTTTACCCTTGTGTTTAAACCAATATGTTTTTCAGTCCATAGCATAACAATATTAATTTCTGAGAAAATGAGACCTCTCCTATGGAGTTCAATTTGTTTCACAATTATTCAATTAAAATACTAACCTCAATTAAATAATATAAAATTGTAATCAAGACATTTTGAATTGTAACATTTTTTTCAACACAAAAATGTTTAACTTAATTTTTTTGTAAAAACTGAAATTACAATTTTTTAACTCATGACTTAAAAAAATTATTTGCAAAACAAACTTATTTGCGCATGTCAGAAATCTTTTCTTGCTATTCAAAGTTTTGCTTGCGATTCTCACATAACGTCTGGGGAGAGCCTAAAATCAAAACAAAAGATTTCTGATGTGTGCAAATAAAAGTTTATGTTTGCCCCTTCATTAATGACATGCTTTATTGGACAGAAACAGTTTGATTATTACATACATTATATCTATCATGGTAGTTCAGGATGAGTTATTTTTAATTCTTAATGAATATTCTTGTTGGACTTTTATTTAAATTCTCCTTCAAGATACATTTACCTAACGCTAGAATAAATGCAATATACATCATTCACCAAAGAAAATTAGAAAATCGGACATATATCCATTATGGAGATGATAGGTTTTGGACGGGCGATGTGCCCCTATTGCATAAGTAATACTGAAGAATGACTGCTGTCATTAACAATACAGGGAAGCTATTTATCTCACCTTGCTTTGCTAGCAAAGTCATTAGCTAGCAGCTAGCTCATAGCACAACAACAGTCTAATGTCTGATGATAAAAATACTGGATCGATAGATAAGAACAGCTTTTCCTCACCTGGCTGCCTCCTCCCGCTCAGTAGATATTCAGAGAGGCGGACTTAGAGACTTATATTCTCTAAGACGCCTGTCTTGTTTATTTCATTTCTGCTTAAACCGCAACTCCGTGCTGAAGGAGAAACGATACAACATTTAACGTTTTCTGTTATCTGACAGTAGCAAGCCGACTCCAGTGTTTTCACCAAAAATATTTTTTTTCAGTTCACCAAAAGCTGTTTTGTAATCTGGAACGTCACTAGCTTGAGCTCCGCAGTTAGCCGCCTTATCTCACCGCGCGAGAGGCAAGTGCGTCGTGCGTCACGGGCAAAAGGTCAAAGGTAACAATGTGACCGGAGGGCTTATTGTGTTGTTTTTCTTGCAAAGTAATAATAATAATAGTAATAATAGTCATATAGTAATAATTGTAGTACATGTGTAAGAAAAAACAAAAGGGCACTTGGGGCCATGGAGCAAAAGGGGCAGGTGCTCAAGCCCCCAAAGCACCCCCCTCTGCACGCGCCTGCCTTCTGCTGTTTTAATGATGAAGATGACTTAAAATAAGTTTGACTTAATCATTTAACGTTTGTCTCTTTAAGAAGCTCCTGCTCTACTGTACCTGACGGTCTGCTTCCAGGAAGTCATCCCAACATGACTCCTCTATCAACCCTTTAATGTTCTTACCAGCGTTGCTCTGAGCAGCAGCTCCTATGACGAGCTCAGCAGCTGATTGCTAATTGCTGCTGGCTAGCCTGAAGGAGCAGAGTGGGAGACGAGCTTCTGAGGTGGGATCCAGATGATTAGCAGCTGAATAGTTACCATGGAGATGAAATGATTTCTCAATCATGAAAGAATCAGATCAACACAGCCGGAAAAACATTAAAACATGACGAAGATCAGAAAGGTAATTTTACATAAAACTGCTTCATCTAACTTACAAGTCAAATACAGACATGTTGGATACCTGCCTGGAGGACATTCCGGTTGGTTTCCGTTCTGGTTGGTTCCAGTTCCGGTTGGTTCCAGTTCCGGTTGGTTCCCGTTCCGGTTGGTTCCAGTTCCGGTTGGTTCCAGTTCCGGTTGGTTCCCGTTCCGGTTGGTTTCTGTTCCAGTTCCGGTTGGTTTTCGTTCCGGTTGGTTCCAGTTCCGGTTGGTTTTCGTTCAGGTTGGTTCCAGTTCCGGTTGGTTCCCGTTCCGGTTGGTTCCCATTCCGGTTGGTTTCTGTTCCAGTTCCGGTTGGTTTTCGTTCCGGTTGGTTCCAGTTCTGGTTGGTTCCCGTTCCGGTTGGTTCCTGTTCCGGTAGGTTTCTGTTCCCGTTCCGGTTGGTTTCTGTTCCAGTTCCGGTTGGTTTTCGTTCCGGTTGGATCCAGTTCGAGTTGGTTCCTGTTCCGGTTGGTCCCCTTTCCGGTTGGTTCCCGTTCCGGTTGATTCCCGTTCTGGTTGGTTCCCGTTCCAGTTTGTTCCCGTTCCGGTTGGTTCCATTTCCGGTTGGTTCCAGTTCCGGTTGGTTCCCGTTCCGGTTGGATCCCGTTCCGGTTGGTTCCAGTTCCAGTTGGTTCCAGTTCCGGTTGGTTCCCGTTCCAATTGGTTTCCGTTCCGGTTGGTTCCAGTTCCAGTTAGTTCCAGTTCCGTTTGGTTCCAGTTCCGTTTGGTTCCTGTTTCAGTTGGTTCCCGTTCCGGTTGGTTCCAGTTCTGGATGGTTTCTGTTCCAGTTCCGGTTGCTTTCTGTTCCGGGTGGTTCCAGTTCCAGTTGGTCCCAGTTCCAGTTAGTTCCCGTTCCGGTTGTTTCCCGTTCCGGTTAGTTCCCGTTCCGGTTGGTTTTTGTTCCAGTTTTGGTTGGTTTTCGTTCCGGTTGGTTCCCGTTCCGGTTGGTTCCCGTTCCGGTTGGTTTTTGTTCCAGTTTTGGTTGGTTTTCGTTCCGGTTGGTTCCCGTTACGGTTGGTTTCTGTTCCCGTTCGGGTTGGTTTCTGTTCCAGTTCCGGTTGGTTTTCGTTCCGGTTGGATCCCGTTCGAGTTGGTTCCTGTTCCGGTTGGTCCCCTTTCCGGTTGGTTCCCGTTCCGGTTGGTTCCCGTTCCGGTTGATTCCCGTTCTGGTTGGTTCCCGTTCCAGTTTGTTCCCGTTCCGGTTGGTTCCAGTTCCGGTTGGTTCCAGTTCTAGTTGGTTCCAGTTCCGGTTGGTTCCCGTTCCGGTAGGTTCCCGTTCCGGTTGGTTCCCGTTCCAGTTGGTTTCTGTTCCAGTTCCGGTTGGTTTTCGTTCCGGTTGGTTCCAGTTCCGGTTGGTTCCAGTCCCGGTTAGTTCCCATTCCGGTTGGTCCCCTTTCCGGTTGGTTCCCGTTCCGGTTGTTTCCCGTTCCGGTTGGTTCCCGTTACAATTGGTTTCTGTTCCAGTTCCGGTTGGTTTTCGTTCCGGTTGGTTCCAGTTCCGGTTGGTTCCAGTCCCGGTTAGTTCCCATTCCGGTTGGTCCCCTTTCCGGTTGGTTCCCGTTCCGGTTGTTTCCCGTTCCGGTTGGTTCCCGTTACAATTGGTTTCTGTTCCAGTTCCGGTTGGTTCCCATTCCGGTTGGTTCCAGTTCGGTTTGGTTCCCATTCCGGTTGGTTTCTGTTCCAGTTCCGGTTGGTTCCGTTGTGGAGAACCTTCTCCCCCTTGGCTGCTGCAGACATGACGCTGTTGTGGCTCTGCTGCTCTATTTAAAGACCAGATCTTCTGTCCAAAGAATGTCGTCTCAACTGCTGCCAGCACAGAGTGAAAGAGAGAGGCTGTGTGTGTGTGTGTGTGTGTGTGTGTGTGTGTGTGTGTGTGTGTGTGTGTGTGTGTGTGTGTGTGTGTGTGTGTGTGTGTGTGTGTGTGTGTGTGTGTGTGTGTGTTAGCAGTTGAGTGCGATGCTCCCACAGTGAGTCGGGGGGTGGAGCCGTCTGAGCTGCAGGCTGGAGCTGCTGCTTCTCTGAACACGTGCTGCTGCTCCGCCGCTTCGCTCTGCACATTTGGAGCGCCTGTTGTTGTTCTGGGAGAGCCCGGTTTGGAGCGGCCCGGTTCAGAACGGCCCGGTCTGGTCTGAGACGAGCTGAAGTCCAGACGGGGTGAGTGCTTTGTTTCTCTTGTTCCAGGCTCTGAGTGGGCTGAGAGAAAAACCCAGCTGCTGCTCAGGAGCTGCAGAAGTTTCCTAACTTTGATCCTTTGAAGACTGGTTCTGGTTCTGCTGAGTGGTTCTGCTGGACGGACCCGGATGGTACAGGGATGTCCTGCGGTCACTGTACCGACCTGTTGATCAGCAGAAACATGTTGCTGACCTGCAGGGCTCTGACCAGAACCACCCGACTGGATGCTTTCAGGTCCGGTTTAATGGTTTAACTGGTTACCAGCTCGTCTTATTGGACCAATTCCCAGTAACAGGAGGGCATATGTTAAGCAGAACTTCACAATAAGAACCTCATGTAGCTCTGAGCTCCCCTCTCTGCTCATTGATAATAATAATAACAGATTATGATTTAATCCAGAAATAATCCCAGCTGCTGCTGCTCAGATTGAGGTGAGAACTGGGACCAGCAGCCGGCTGGTACTGGTGCTGTTGGGAGTTGGATCAGATGATCTTCATGGAAACTGATGGAACGTTTCAGGAATGTTTTAAAGCTGCCATATTTTTAAAATTGCACATTTCTGTTGAAACTCACTTTTGTGCAGATGGCTCCTGCTCCCAGTGCTCCCAGTGCTCACTGCAGAAATACACTGATCAGCCACAACCAGTCAGAATGAGAAGGATCTTAGCACTGTCAGTCAGGCTTATGTATGCGCTGCTCATACCCGCCTCCTTCTTTGTTACAGCTGGTTTACCACAGCCAGTCTTTCATGAGTGCTAAGGCTAGCTAGCATAGAGAGACGCTCTTGGAAGTGCTGCTGTTGTTTGTGTGTTGTAGGTTGCCGGTTCACCATTTTGTTTTTTCATTATAAGTTCATTCTTCATTGTGGTTTGTTTATTCCTTCAGAGTTTGGTTTTGTGTCTGTCTCCTGCTTTGATCAATGATATTTCCTAGATGTCATTGAATGTTACCGTTTACCTGTGCTCCTTGAACGTGAGTCGGCGTGAGTTATTTAACACGGTCTGAAAAGAAAAGAAACCAGATTCCCCAGATCCTAACTGAAGGTGTTAGCAGTTAGCATCACGATCAACTCTTTTTCTCCTGCTAATGTCTTTAGCTCTAGCTAACAGTCTTAGCTCCTGCTAGTATAGGCCAAGCTGATGGCGATAGATTGTTTCAGCAGATATTTCATGTCCAGAAGGTTGTGGATCCCTTTAAGGTTGTCATCTAGTCATCATGGTCTCCAGCCATGATGACCAGAACCAGAACCAGGCACTGGTTCTGGTTCTGGTTCTGGTCCTAGTTCTGGTCCTGGTCCTGGCTCTGGTCCTGGTCCTGGTCCTGGTTCTGGTCCTGCTCCTGGTTCTTGTTATGGTCCTGGTTCTAGTTTTGGTATAAACGGATCCAGAGAGCGGTTCCCATGAAGATAGAGTTGTACTGTCAAATTTTTTCAAAAATATGAGCGCAAAAAAATTAGCTGCAGCTTAGGTGTGTGTGTGTGCGTGTGTGTGTGTGTGTGTGTGTGGGCGTGCGTGTGTGTGCGTGTGAGTGTGTGTGTGTGTGTGCGTGTGTGTGGGCGTGCGTGTGTGTGCGTGTGTGTGTGTGTGTGCGTATGTGTGTGTGAGTGTGTGTGTGTGTGTGAGTGTGTGTGTGTGTGTGTGTGTGAGTGTGTGTGTGTGTGAGTGTGTGTGAGTGTGCGTGTGTGTGCGTGTGTGTATGTGCGCGTGTGTGTGTGCGCGTGGTGTGTGTGTGCGTGTGTGAGTGTGTGTGTGTGTGTGAGTGTGTGTGTGTGTGAATGTGTGTGTGTGTGTGTGCGTGCGCGTGTGTGTGTGTGTGAGTGTGCGTGTGTGTGTGTGTGTGTGCGTGCGTGCGCGTGTGTGTGTGGGGGGGGGGGTGCGCGCGTGTGTGTGCGTGTGTGTGTGTGGGGGGGGGGGGGGTGCGCGTGCGTGTGTGTGTGTGGGGGGGCGTGCGCGTGCGTGTGTGTGCGCGTGCGTGTGTGTGCGTGTGTGTGTGTGTGCATGCCTCCCTACCCCTCAGGTGTGTGTTCTGGCTTTCTGATTGGATCCCTGATGAGATTCCTGATCTGATTGGTCAACTGTAAACATGGCGTTGATGAGCGAACAGGAACTGTTCCTTTGAGGATGTTTCTAGGTTTCCCAGTAGATCCAGTGCTCCCAGTAGAGGTGACCAGCCTCATTGTGCTGCTGCCGCATGGTTTCCCCCTCAGAGATCCTGAAAGACGTTTTTCGCTGTGGCTCGTGGAAACCACATTGACTCCCAGTAGCTCCATGGAAACCAGCACTGGTTTCACTCAGCTTGACTGGGAGTGGCCCAGTTCAGTCCCAGTCTGTGACGTTAAAGCAGAATGTTTCCAGACATTGTCAAAGTGGGACCATCATGAATCACTTTTTGGTGCTGTTCACTGGTTTCCAGTCAGAGACCGTCACAGATGTCCTGACCCACATCAGAACTGTCAGCCGACCCGCTGATCCGATTCATTCCGGTTCTGTTGGATTGGTCATGTGACATGGTTTTCACAAGTAAAGCATTTAGCTCTAATGTAAAATGATCCTGAAGTCTCCTCCTGGTTCTGACCCGGTGAGGCCGACTGTAATGTTAGGTTCTGATCCAGTTTGGGTTTTAGGTTCTGCTGCAGCCAGCAGGGGGCAGCAGAGGGGAGGAAATTGAGGGAGGGCTGACAGCAGGGAGGCGGAGCTTAGCACAGGGATCAGCGCTGACGGCAGGAGACGCTCTGAGAGACAGACTGGGATCATGGAGTCAAACTGGAGTAATTTCCCCTGACTCCACACTGCAGACAGCATGGTAAGGCCTCCACACACACAATGCCTGCAGCAGTTTAAAATTATAAGGATTTCTTTTCATTTGAACTTTCTCTAACAAAATATAAATTCATTAGTAATACCTGATAGGAGCTGAAATGCAGAGCGAATGAACAGAAAAGGCACAAAGCATTTCAACTTGTTTCTTTTTGGTATTTTGCGTAGCACGGGCGCGATCGGACCACAGAATTCAAAGCGCTGTCAAGTTCTGTCCCTGAGGACGGACCGAGAAAAAAATAAAAACACCTCCCTACTGCCCCGGTTGGGGCAGTAGGGAGGTGTAGGGTTCCACCAGGGTGTGTGTGTGTTAGGGATTCAACATTGGATCTGAGGTGTGTGTGTAGCTGTGAGCAGCAGGACCAGCAAAACACTCGGACCTGTCAGTTAAAGTCAGGTCAAACACCAGAACCCAACAGAACCCGGCCTGGTGGAGCAGAACCACTCCGTGGTCCAGTTCTGTAACAGGTGGAGGTGGGTCAGCTGGGACTCCTGCAGCTGAGCCGATCAGACTGGGAGGTTCTGCCACCTTCGGATCAGAACCAGAGCATCACGACCCAACGCCTGGTTCTGATTCTGCCCAACAGAACCAGCAGTCAGAGCTTCCTGTAGCCGGGCAGGTTATCATGGGATGTTTGTGGTTTGATGGGCTGCAGTGAAAACTTTATTTCTGTAGCACCACCTGAACAAAGCACCAGCCCCCAGCGTCCAATCAGATCGCTTGACCTGAGGAGCTGCTTCCATCGTTAGCGATGTAGCTGCGCGTCAAATTTAGAGGCTTACCAGAAACATGTGAATACAAAGGTTCCAGCTGGGGACGGGTGGAAAAAATCACAAATAAAATGATTAATTTGGTAAAATAAATCAAAGTAATTAATAAATTGAAATGACGTAGAGATGCGTCTTTAAATAGATTCATATTTATTGCTGAACCAAAGGGAAGAAAGTAGTGAAACTAAACCTCTTCAGGTTTTGGTCTTTGCAGGCATCAGGTTATCATCGCTGTCCTCCCCATTTCCTGTCTCTACTGCTCTGTTCAGAACCAGAACCTGGACCCGGCGTCGGCTCCAGCTTGACTCTGAAGTGACTCTTTGTTTCGCCAGCAGAACAAGTGAAAACAGTGACTCACTCTGACGATTACGCACACCTGAGCAGGGCGAAGTGCCGTTACCATGGAGACGTCAGGTAAACTGGGAGTGCTGACAGAAACATGCTCAAGGAGCCACAACAGGAACCAGAGCTAATGTGGGTCCAGTCAGAGGTCAGTGGTTCTGACTGAACTCCCAGGTTAGACCTGTGGATGGAGATCCACCTGAGAGACCGCTGCCTGAGCAGGTGGGCAACATCACAGGTGAGGAGGTTCATGGGGAGTTCTGATTGGTTGATGGCAGTTGAATCTGAGCTCAGAATGGATGGGTTAGTTCTGATCCAGATTGGTTCTGTTGGGTTCTTCGGAATGTTCTGGTCTGACTGCATGAGTCCATGCAGCTGCAGGTGATCAGTTCGGTGTGTTGCGTTGCTGCGCGATGCCGTTGCTGCGCGTTGCGCCCTCATCAAGGTCAGCTTCAGCGTCAGAACCAGCCCGAGGTCTGCTGCTTGACCCAAGAGTTTCTGCTGGTTTGTTGCAGTCATAGTTTTAGTGTCAAACTGGTCAGAACCCGGTCTGTGGTTCTGGTGGACCCAGAGCAGACTGGTTTCCCCCCGCCGGCGCCAGGTCACCATGTGGGTCGTGTTCTCCACGCTCTGGGTCCTTCTGGAAGCCGTCTTCACGCTACCTGTCGGGTCAGATGTCTCTACAGTTCCGGCCTCTCATTTGTCCAGAACAGGGGTCACCAACTTGGGGTCGGCGGGCGTCGGGTCGCCCGAGGGGTCACTGTCAGTCGCCCGCAGAGCAACTTCTAAAAATAGCCATTGTAATTGGGGAGCACTACCAAAGAAATTCTTTTATTTATTGTTTTTACATTGAAGTAATAAAATGTGTTTAGAATTTTTAAAGAAAGTGAATTATAAAAATGTTTAAAATAAATTGATTCATGCATAAATCTCTTCTATGGTTAAAGTTCAGAACGATGCAGACACCTGCAGGATATTATTGCAGCGCCTGAGGCGGTGAGGCAGTCGGTACCGATGGGTGAGACTGGGACTCGGATCAGAACCAGGAGCATCCCACCCTGATCAGAACACGGCCCGTCTCCCTTGGCTTTAAACCTCATCTGCTGAAGGAGTCCTCCTGGTTCTGGTTTTGAGAGACGGTTTCTGTAGAACATCAGTGACCCAGTCCCAGGCTCAGTGTGAGGTTCTGCTCTCTCTGACTTGGACTGGTGGTTCTGGTTCTGGTGTTCCAGCAGCCTGGCTGTCTGGAACATTCCTGTCTCAGTAAGCTGCAGAGGCATCGCCTGAAGGCGCGCCGCTCTTTCCTGCTCAGCGCCTCTGGAATGTGATAACATCAGATGAAACTTTAATCCCTGAGAGGAAACTGCAGCGTCTCCAGACGAGCCGCAGCACGCCGCGGCTGGCCCGCAGCATCACAGAACCATGGCAGGTAATCCTAGCAGGAAGCTGCTATGGCTGCGGCTGATGATGATGGCAGCAGGGATTTGATGTTGACGTGAGCTGTTGGGACGTTCACTTCGGCTGCTGCAGACCGACTTTCTCTGCTTTCTAGACGACCTTCCCCTCATGCAGCTGTTACTGAAGCGACCAGTTAAAATACTTCATTTGCTAAATGACTTACAAATCGTTTTTCTAAATAACTTTTTTGTAAATTTAGCCTTTTCCCAAATTATTTTTTAGAAAAAATGTTTTCTCTAATATTTTGTTGAAGTCTCGGCTTGAGATGTTTGGAAAGAGAACTCGATTTGAAAAGAACGAAGTCATTTCCAAAACTCATTTTAGGTTCAAAAAGCTGCATAAATGTAGGTTCAACCATTTGTATGCACTCCATAAACTACTCTCAACGTGTATTTTTTAATCAAAGTTTGACTTTTGAAATGAATTTTACTTTTCAAATTTTAGTTTTTGAAACTTGTTTGCTTTCAATAACATTTGAATGTTAAGCATCCAGAAGAAACTACGCTGGGTTTTAATGAGCCGCAGAACATTGTTAGAATCCAGGCTTTTATTGTGAAGGTTAGCAGGATGTTGTATCTGTGCTCTGTGCTACCAGTTAGAGTAGGAGCTGGCCAAACTGGGAACCAGTTAAGCAGCTGCAGCAGAACATTGTGCTGGAAGCAGGAAGGAGAAAGTTTGGTGGATGAAAGATCTCATCCTTTTGGAGTCACTTCAGATTTACTGGTTTCATGAACCGCCTCCTGCCTGCTAACATCGTCTACGCTAGCATAGCATGCAGCGCTGATGTTTCCATAACGACGTCGGCCATTTTTCCCTGGCGAAGCTCCAGCTGCTTTCATCCAGAGGACAGAAACGCCTCATCCTCCTCATCGCTTTCTGGCAGGACCAGAGGTCGCGTCTCCAGAGGTTTCCTCATTAGGGAGCCGTGACCTTTGACCCAGCATGGAGCTTGGATCCTGCAGACTGATGTTGGGACATGTTTACCTGCTGCTCCACGCCCTGCAGGAACCGGTTCTGCCATCAGGATGAATCACGGTCCGGTGGCCTTCCGTCCAAACCAGCAGAACCAGAACCAGCAGAACCAGAACCAGCAGAACCAGAACCAGCTCCTCTGAAAGCATCAGGAACATTGGAGCCCGTCGGCAGGACGCTGCACTGGGGACCATCAGAACCAGGACCCTCAGTGGGCGCTTGGGCCTCTGGGGGGCGCTCTCTGTGAAGTGGTCTGCTCTGACCTTTGACCTCCTGCTAAGTGATCAGTTATTGAGCCACAGCAGGAAGTCATAATCAGCTCAGAGTGAGAGGCCCTCCGTGCTCCTCTTCCTCCCCTCTCCTCTCTGGTTCTGGTTCTGGTCCGGCCCAGGTCCACATCTCTCTGTTCTGTCTCCTGCAGGACTCTGAGTCTGTGGACGTCTGCGTCCAGAAGGCGCTGGCCGCCGTCTTCCCGCCCTTCCAGGCCTCGGCCCCCACCCTGCTGCCTCAGGTCCTCGCCGTGGTGGACAGCTGTTACCGTGGAGACGGCCTCCGCTTCCTCTTCCACTTCCTGCTTCCTTCCAAGCACTTCCTGCAGAACCTGCAGCAGGCTGCCTGCGTGAGTTCCTGCGGACGACTGTCCATCCGGTCCCCTGTCTGTCCTCACACCTTCAACCTTTGACCCCACACAGAAAGATGAAGTGATTTAAACATGAAAAGTAGCGATTTCAGCGTTCGAGAAGAAGAAGGGCGTTGACCTTTGACCCCTAGGCCTTCTGAACAGAATGTCCTTCTGTTTTTTCTGCCTATTAAAACAGGAAACAGAGTTGAAGCTTTTAGCAACTTTTCTAGAAAACATGAAACTTTGGCAGCTTTTCATAATCGACTGTTTGGTAAAAGAGAAAATGTTTATTTTTAAATGAATAAAAAACAAATTGACATCCTTAGTTTCAGTGAACAAAATTCATTTATAAAATGATGTCCAGACGTTTTCTCTGCAACCTTCTCTGACTGCCGAAACAGGCCCACAGCACAGTGCTGCCACTACCATGCTCTCCTATAAAGACGTTGCTATGGCAACGAGCAGATTCATGTGTTAGAGCGGCCTAGTCAAAGTCCAGACTGTAGCCTCCCTGAGCTGGAGATGTTTTACTCAGCAGAACAGAGATAAACCGCAGAAGGCCTGCACACCGCACTTTTCAGATCAGGCATGAATGATGATTATGCTTCCAGCTCTCAGTTCTGCTGTGGTTTTCTCCCAGTAAGCCCAGACTGGTGAGGAAAACTTCAAGACCTCTGAATACTTTAGTCAGACTTTGTGTCCGTCCATCATGGAGTCGATTTTATTGAGAACAGGAGAGGAGGATTGTGTTTGTCCTGATGACTGACCTCTGACCCCACCCCTCTCTCTGACCGCCCCCTCCAGGCTCCGTTCTCCGGCCTGCTGTTCCGTCATCCCGGCTGGCCGCTCTGCCTCCATGACAGGATAGTCGTCCATCTTTGTCCTCTGGATCCGCTCCTCCTCCTTCCAGGAGACTTCTACCTGCTGCTTTCTCCTCCTGCTGCCGCCCACGTCCCCCTTCGCCTGCTCCTGGTCAGCGCGTCAGCGGGCGGCCGCCATGCGGAGCGGCAGGAGGTGCCGGCCCGGGCCCTGACCTCCATCTTCAGCATGGCTTGGCTGGACGCCGAGAACCGGGGAGCGTGAGCGACGCGGCGCCGTCGGGCTGCGGCGCTGTCCTGTCCGCCCACGGCGACGTCTTCAGGGTCCCCTGGGAGGACGTCGTCCACCCGCAGTTCGTCAGCCGCTCGCGCAGCTCCGCCCCCTCAAGGTCGGACGGGAAGCCCCTCCCCCTCCCAGCTACACCCAGCCGGTCAGCAGCCAGCAGCGACGACTCAGAGGGCGAATACGTGGAGCTGACGGAGCTGCTGCCGCCGCTACAACCAGCGCTGCCACGCTTCTCCCCACAGAAAGGATCCCTGACCCAGTCTATCAGCCTGCAGAACCGGACCAGAACCACAACACACTCCAACACCCACCCGTGGGCCCCCAAGGCTAGCTCACACACCCTGCAGTGCTCCAGACTGCTGGAGGAGAACTTCAGTTCCTCCTCCTGCTCCTCAGAAGGCCGCGGCGCAGCAGGGAGGAGCAGCATGCACGTTGCAGCTGCAGGAGGTGAGGAAGAGGAGGAGGCAGAGCATGACAGAGATAAAGGTTTGGAGTCAGACGTTGCAGAAAGAGAAGAGCGGCTGCAGCAGGAGAGGAGGAGCGAAGAAGGGGAGGAGGAGGTGGTTCTGCAAAGAAAGGAGGAAGTGATGAAAGTTGATCAGAAAGAAGGAGGGGAGGTTAAAGAGAAAGAGACAGGATGTGAAGAGTGCTCAGCTAAGGGCTTTTACTCTGAAATTAACAAACTAATGCACTCTGACAACTCTTATTCTGAAAGGTTTATGAGGAAACTAAACCCAGAGGCCTCGCACTGTAAAAACATGACTGGAAATACACACACAGAAGACTTTTGTTGTGAAAGTATCACAGACAAAATCCTCCCAGAGGACTCTTATTCTGAAAATATGTCAAAAAAAGAAACAGGGTAACTCTAATTATGGACATATGGAAGAAAATACACATCCAGAAGGCACTTACTCTGAAAAGCTAACAAAAAATACAAACCTGAAGGACCTTTATTCTGAAAATATTGTAGAGAAAATAAACCTGGAGGACTCTTCTTGTGAAAATATGAGCCACAAAACAGCCACCCCAGATTTTCAGTGTAAAAGCAGGGAAAGCAAACCTCCAGCTGAGTATTATTTTGAAAATGCTCTAAAAACAACCTTTGCCAGCTCTTTTCTGAAAATGAGACACAGGAAACTGTCACTGATGTCTTTTATTCTGACAGCACATTGGAGACACAGTCTGAAGACTCTTATTTTGAAATTGGCTCCTTTCAAATACCCTCTACGTCAAAGAGGTTAAATTCTGGGCATGTTTTCCCCAACGACTTTAAAACTGAAGAAAGCCTCCTCAAATCCGAAGACTCTTACTCTGAAAAGCTGATACAACGAACACTACCTGAGGACTCTTATTTTGAAAAACAACTTGACTCTTATTCTGAAAATCTGATGCATGAAAACTCTTCTTCTGAAAATGCAACACAACATAAAGATTCTTATTCTGAAGATCAGATTAAACCTGAGGACTCTTATTCTGAAAAACATGAACAACCTGATGACTCTTATTCTGAAAAACGGACACAACCTGAGAGTTTCTGTTCGACAACAAAACAACTGGATGTCATTTATTCTGAAAAACAAGTGCAGGACTCTTATTGTGAAGCTCCAGGAGAGTCTGAGGAAACTCCTCCTGCGTTCAGTGGAGGGCAGGAGAACCTGGAGGAAGAAGAGGAGCAGATTGATGGACGAAGATCTGCAGGTCATCAGACTGAAGGTACACCCTTCCTCTTCCTCCTCTTCCTCACGCTGATGATTTATCCGGCAATCACCAGTGTCTTTCTGATCTTCTCCTCCTCTGATTGGCTGAATCCCTTTTACGCCTTTTGTCTTTGTAACTGTTTTTCTCCTCTGATTGGCTGAGGCGTTTCCCCTGTCTGTAGCTCCTCCTCCTAACTCACCTGTTTGTCTGCCGGGTTCGGGATGATCTGCTCTGAGCTCCAAGTCACAGAAAGTCCTTGTGTCTTGCTGTGACGTCCTGGACTTTAAAGAACTTTTTATTGATTTGGATCTCCATCTGGTTCAGGTTCTGATCAGACGTCTCTCTGCAGGTTCCAGCTGTGAGGGTTCCCATATCCAGTTACACATCAACGCTGGTTCTAGTCCAAAAGAACCAGAAAATCCCTTAGCTTCCCCAGCCCAGTCCTCCCAGTCCAGGTTCCAGAGTGTGCTGCTGGGATCTGGAGCTGTGTGCCTGCCTGGTGAGCAGCAGAAACCAGAGCAGCCTGTTTGGGCCCAGTGGGTCGGGCCCCTTCTGTCTGCCACACATGCTGGAGCGTAAAATATCGTTAGCATATTGTAGTGTTTGTTTAGCATGTTTAAACCTGCTGTAAGTGTGTGTTTAGCGTGTTGATGTGCCGGCTGCGTCTCCACCAGGAACCAGAGACAGAGCAGGCCGGGTTCTTCTCACCGTCTCCACCTGCAGCCCTGTGTGGTCGGAGCCAGGCTGCGAGAGCACTGAGCTGCTCCGCCTCATGCTGTACTACACCTCCACCCTCAGGTACGCCCAGATCCTGCTTACTGCTCTCACCCAATGATGGCGCTCTCTGACATCACTTCCTGTGTGAAACAGGGCGGAGGCTCGAGTCATGGGGCTGACGGTGTTGGTGGATGCTCGAAGAGCTGCTCCTGCACCTGCCTCTTCTCTGCCCTCCAGATGCTGCGGGTGAGGCTCGACCACAGGGAGGAGGGTCACATGACCACCTGATTATATTGAGCAGAACCAGATCATCTATATAATCATCTATTGAAACCAGCTGCAGGCCTTGGTGGGTTTGTTGCTGCAGGCCTTGGTGGGTTTGTTGCTGCAGGCCTTGGTGGGTTTGTTGCTGCAGGCCTTGGTGGGTTTGTTGCTGGAGAAAACATAACTTATCCTAAGGGTCTGAATGAACTAAAACTGAAAAAGCTCTTTCAGAAAAAGAGCTGCGAAGGTTGGGTTTTTAGACGTTTTATTTCTCCCTACACGGTGGATAAATGCCTGGCTCGACTCCAGCTGCTCTGGAATCTTTCATTCAAACAGCTGGAAACAGACAAACTTCAGCTGAGGTTCTGGTTCTGTTCTTGGGATGTTCTGTGTCTGAGGATGCTTTTCTGTGCAGGAGGACACGCCCAGCTCCGTCCACTCAGTCCTCATCCTGGTTAACAGAGACTCATCACTTCGGCTGGATAAAGCTGCTGCTGCTCAGGTAGCTATAGCAGCTGGCAGGCTCCGCCCTGCTGCTCTCTGTGCATGCTAACAGTGAATGCTAACAGTGAGTTTCCTCCTGCAGGTGGAGGTGCTGAGCTCCCTGAAGTCCCTGCAGAGACACGTGGATCTGCAGCAGCTTCCTGTACAGCTTGGAGGCTCATTCAGCTTCAGCCAGAGCAGCTGGATCAGCTTCAGATCGGTCAGCATACACACACAGACACACACAGTCAGTGGAGTTAAACCTGACCCCGGTGACCCCTGCAGTGTGACCTCAGCCTCTGCAGTCTCTGCAACGTTGATGAAATGATGTTTCGATGCTTTGTGTCCATCAGAGGGTGGAGCAGTTCTCCAGGCAGTGCAGCAGCGTCATCCATCTGCTGCAGGAAACTATCAGCAACCTGCAGAGCACACCTTTACCTGCTGTTGCTGAGGTAACAGGGCAGGTGATCAGTGGGGAGACTTTTGTTTCTATTTGCTGTAAACCAGGTTCAGCTTCATCAAAATGTTTTGACTAGGCCAACCCAGACGTTGTCCTGTCTTCCTGCCAGGATGCAGAGCAGCTGCTGTCCAGCTGCAGGCGGTGATGTGCACCCTGAAAGACGCCCGCTTGGTGCAGCTGCAGCAGGAGGGCGGGGCCTCTCTGGCCTGGCTGCGCAGGGACGAGGTGATCTGCTCGGCGGAGGAGCGGCGGGCGGCGGTGGAGGCCGCGGCGTCTCTCTACGATCAGGTGGACGACCTGCTGCATCGCCTGGTCACTCTGTCCAACACCAGGACTCAGGAGCTCAGCTTCATCATCGAGTTCAGGACCCTGGAGCGTGGCTTCAGCCAGGTGAGACTGAGCATGCTCAGTGAGGCTGTCATGGCTGCTGAGGAGCAGCTTCAGCTCTCAATATGCAGTAGTCGACAGTATGTTACTGAATGCCCTGAGGCAGAACTCACCCCTCCATGGTTGATGGATCAGAACATCTCTGGTCAGACCAGTCACTTGGTTCTGACCCGTTCCTGCTACCTGTTCGGCAGTGAGGGCGTGGCTGGAGCAAGAGGGTGAACTCTGTCTGCAGTGTCTGAATGAGCCAGTGGATTCTCTGGAGCTGCTGAGCAGGAAACAACAGGACTTCAAGGAGTTCTACGCCGCCGCTTACGTGAGTTCTGCAGAACCGTCTGGGTCGGAGCTGCGGGCACGGCCCGGCCTGGCACGGCACGGCACGGCAGGTCTCACTCTGTTTCCTCCTTCCTCAGGAGCGCTGCAAGCAGGGCGAAGCTCTGCTGAGCCGGCTGGAGCACTGGGGCGACGTCTCTAATCCAGACCTGCACACCTACGAGGTCAAAGTTCACTCCTTCTGGGCCCAGCTGCAGGACTTCTCCCAGCGGATTAAAAGCACCGAGCAGAACATGGAGCGGGCCGTGCAGCTGTACCGCTTCCTGGACCAGGTACTGATCCAACTGCTGCTGTTTCATTTACAGCACCAATAATAAAAATACTACCATTATATTATATTATATCAATTTATTTTGAAAAATAAAAGGAAAATGTTTAGGTTTGGTCCAGGAGACCTGCTGTGGGTTCAGTCTGACTGCAGAGCTTCACCTGATCACAGTGAGGAGCCTCTGTGGTTCCGGAGTGAGTTTGGGTTCATCTGGTCGGTGGTTTTATTGTCCTGCTGCTGACCTGGTTCTGCAGAACCTCAGCATATATTGGATCTCCGGTTGAGTGGACCCAGCCTCCCGTTCTGAATCCTTTCCAGCGGTTCAGATCCTCCCGTTCTCAAACACGGTTTCACTCTAAAACTTGCCGTACGAACAAATTTAGAAAAGTGCAGCTGCTGCTCCGCCGTCGCCTCCCAAAAACATCTTAATGAGTATAAATACCCGGAGGTCTTATGGATCTAAATGTCTAAACGTTTATCCTGAACACAGGAAGCAGAGCAGAAGGTACATTTACAGGGTAGAGATGCTTTCTGTCCACAAGGCGGGCCAGCTGGACCGGAACCGGTACCTGCTTCAAGTTCTGCTCACAGCTCCAGGATGATCAGTCTGGATTCATATAAATAAACCAGCAGATCAATACGATCTCTGATCAATGGCTCCATGTTCTCCATCAGAGCCACAGATCCTCAGGTAGCAGCTTACCTTGATGCAGCTACTGATGCAGCTGCTGATGCAGCTCACCTGATGCAGCTACTGATGCAGCACCTTGATGCAGCTACTGATGCAGCTGCTGATGCAGCTACTGATGCAGCTGCTGATGTAGCTACTGATGCAGCTACTGATGCAGCTGCTGATGCAGCTACTGATGCAGCTGCTGATGCAGCTACTGATGCAGCTACTGATGCAGCTACTGATGCAGCTACTGATGCAGCTGCTGATGCAGCTCACTGATGCAGCTACTGATGCAGCTGCTGATGCAGCTACTGATGCAGCTGCTGATGCAGCTACTGATGCAGCTACTGATGCAGCTACTGATGCAGCTGCTGATGCAGCTACTGATGCACCTACTGATGAGCTACTGATGCAGCTACTGATGCAGCTGCTGATGCAGCTACTGATGCAGCTCACCTGATGCAGCTACTGATGCAGCTGCTGATGCAGCTACTGATGCAGCTACTGATGGAGCTCTGATGCAGCTACTGATGCAGCTGCTGATGCAGCTGCTGATGCAGCTACTGATGCAGCTACTGATGCAGCTCACCTTGATGCAGCTACTGATGCAGCTGCTGATGCAGCTACTGATGCAGCTGCTGATGTAGCTACTGATGCAGCTACTGATGCAGCTGCTGATGCAGCTACTGATGCAGCTGCTGATGCAGCTCACCTTGATGCAGCTACTGATGCAGCTGCTGATGCAGCTACTGATGCAGCTGCTGATGCAGCTACTGATGCAGCTACTGATGCAGCTGCTGATGCAGCTACTGATGCAGCTGATGCAGCTACTGATGCAGCTACTGATGCAGCTACTGATGCAGCTGCTGATGCAGCTACTGATGCAGCTACTGATGCAGTTGCTGATGCAGCTACTGATGCAGCTACTGATGGAGCTACTGATGCAGCTACTGATGGAGCTCACATTGATGCAGCTACTGATGCAGCTGCTGATGCAGCTGCTGATGCAGCTACTGATGCAGCTACTGATGCAGTGATGCAGCTACTGATGCAGCTGCTGATGCAGCTACTGATGCAGCTGCTGATGCAGCTACTGATGCAGCTCACCTGATGCAGCTACTGAGCTACTGATGCAGCTGCTGATGCAGCTACTGATGTAGCTGCTGATGCAGCTACTGATGCAGCTACTGATGCAGCTGCTGATGCAGCTACTGATGCAGCTGCTGATGCAGCTACTGATGTAGCTGCTGATGCAGCTACTGATGCAGCTGCTCATGCAGCTACTGATGCAGCTGCTGATGCAGCTACTGATGCAGCTGCTGATGCAGCTACTGATGTAGCTGATGTAGCTACTGATGCAGCTGCTGATGCAGCTGCTGATGCAGCTACTGATGCAGCTCACCTGATGCAGCTACTGATGCAGCTGCTGATGCAGCTACTGATGCAGCTGCTGATGCAGCTACTGATGCAGCTGCTGATGTAGCTGCTGATGCAGCTACTGATGCAGCTCACCTTGATGCAGCTACTGATGCAGCTACTGATGCAGCTACTGATGTAGCTGCTGATGCAGCTACTGATGCAGCTGCTGATGCAGCTACTGATGCAGCTGCTGATGTAGCTGCTGATGCAGCTGATGCAGCTACTGATGTAGCTGCTGATGTAGCTACTGATGCAGCTACTGATGCAGCTGCTGATGTAGCTACTGATGCAGCTACTGATGCAGCTACTGATGCAGCTACTGATGCAGCTGCTGATGCAGCTACTGATGCAGCTGCTGATGTAGCTGCTGATGCAGCTACTGATGTAGCTACTGATGCAGCTACTGATGCAGCTACTGATGTAGCTACTGATGCAGCTACTGATGCAGCTACTGATGCAGCTGCTGATGCAGCTACTGATGCAGCTACTGATGTATCTGCTTATGTAGCTACTGATGCAGCTACTGATGCAGCTGCTGATGCAGCTACTGATGCAGCTGCTGATGTAGCTGCTGATGCAGCTACTGATGTATCTGCTTATGTAGTTACTGATGTAGCTACTGATGCAGCTACTGATGCAGCTACTGATGCAGCTGCTGATGCAGCTACTGATGCAGCTGCTGATGCAGCTACTGATGCAGCTGCTGATGTAGCTGCTGATGCAGCTACTGATGTATCTGCTGATGCAGCTACTGATGCAGCTGCTGATGCAGCTACTGATGTAGCTGCTGATGCAGCTACTGATGTATCTGCTTATGTAGCTACTGATGCAGCTACTGAGCTGCTGATGCAGCTACTGATGCAGCTGCTGATGTAGCTGCTGATGCAGCTACTGATGTATCTGCTTATGTAGCTACTGATGCAGCTACTGATGCAGCTACTGATGCAGCTGCTGATGCAGCTACTGATGCAGCTGCTGAT